CCCTTGAAGAAAAAGCTCTCCCATCCTTCAATGGCAGTTAGCTGTACGAAAACAAAACTCAACCCAAAAGCTGATGAGTGGAAACCAGAGAAAAACCTAGTGCTTTGTTACCATCCCCATGAGATTTACCACTCACCACCACAACAAGGTAATGAGCTAGTTGTGTATAAACCTGCAGCAGCCTCTCAGCCACAACCATCTTCTCCTCACTTGTTCTTCTACCAACAACTTCTTCCTCCTCCTCTTTTCAAATCTCCCTTTTATTGGGTTCAGTATGCATGTCATGTAGATAATTTTCAGCCACCGGAAGAGTCTTGTTTGGCCAAAGAAATGTTTGGCATGAAAAATGGGAGTAGGGCTTCGTTTTTTAGACCACGAGGTGATCACAAAAGAGGCCAAAAACAACCCTTTTTGCCGCCTAGGCTGAGGGATGCTGAAACTGAAAAAGGGCGTTTTGGGATGAAAAAACGCCATAATAATACTGATGGGGGTTACAAATCTCCAGCTCCTAAGGAAAAACCTTCTTTTTCCTGTGACAAAACCACCGTTATGATCCGTAACATCCCTAACCAGTTTAGGTCTGTCTATTTTATCTTCTTGTTTTTCATCTTATCATTCTCCTTTTTGTTTTCTAACATTTTCATATTATATCACTTTTTGCATGTTGAAAATGAGATTTTGATGCAGAATACTATGATGGGGTCACTTTTGTTTGTCCACTTATAAATACTATATATACTATATATTTTCATATTTACTTGTTTATGAATAATCTTGCTCCAATATTAATGAACAAGGTGATGTTGGTATGTTGAGTTTCAGTCCTATTTTGGGTAGTATTAGTTTATCTGACCTTTTAGTGTTCAGTCGCTGAAAAGGCGATAATAAAAGTCAGGCTTTGCCACTTTAATTCAGACTTTAATTTTACTGTCTATTCCTATTTCGATGTACCCTTATTATGGTCATGCATGCACTTATTATTCATGATCAGCTATTTAATGCATTTTTTGTGTCCATTAATGCCTCATATTTTTCTCCAATATTAGTGGAGTTTTTTGTTTATTTTGGTTATATGCATTTATGAATTTTCCCCTCCCTCTGTAAACGTGATAGCAGCCTGACAATATATACTTCTTTTGTTATGGATTTTAATAGCCGAGAGCCGTTCATGCGTTTTATTGATCATTTCTGCCGTGAGAATCATTGGGAGTATGATTTCCTCTATCTGCCAATGGATTTCGGGTAATACTATTTAATGTCTTGGATGTTATATTTTACTTGCCATACACTCAGTGGCGAATTTTGGTTAAGCGGTGCAAAAATATATAAAAGTAAATATATCAGTAAATTAATGGGAGTTAATACAGTATAATTTATTTTTTACTTACCTACCCATTGTATTTTTTCTGCAAAGTGTGTCAATTGACACCTTTACTACTCCGCCACTGCATACACTTGTGATATAAAGATTATGTTTTAGAGTACTATTAAGTCACTTAAAAGTGACGGCAGGTTACATACTATGGGGGGGGGGGGGTAAAAATATAATATTAGCATATATATAATGTAAGTTAAATCCGTAAAAGATTCATTGTTTTCTTTGTTTATGATCTCTCACTCTTTTGGTCTCTATTCTTTGTTTTTATGTTAATAATAATGCAGGACCGAGAACAATTTGGGCTATGCTTTTGTCAATTTCACAACAAGGTGTGCTGCCTCTGAAATTAGGGAAGTACTCAAGAACTTCAAGTGGGATGGTATTAAGACTCCCATGGGATTTTTTGCCTCGAAAAAAATCTGTGAAGTTACTTGGGCTCGGATTCAGGTAAAAATGAGATCTTACATTTCTTGCTTTCTTTTAACACAAACTGTTAAATGAGAACTGCATATAATGTTTGGTAATTCTATGGATACTTGAGCTGTTTTCTAGTTCTCTCCTGTGCTAGTCTTTTAGCAGTGTTTCTTTATATTTGTTTGTAAATAAATTGTAAATTTGACTTGTTAAGATGATCAAGTGTCCAAAACACCACTATATTATCATATTTGTTGTAACTTGAAAATATTTTCATCTATTTTGTAGGAATTAGACCTTAACCACCAAATAATTTGGAAAACTTAGTTTCTGGTTAAATTGAGTTCTATACTATAATAAAATGAGCGCTATTATCTATTTCCTTCCGCCGTTTGAGATTATAATAACATCAACAAAACCAGTGAGTTCCTACAAGTGTGGTCGTGGAGGCTAGTGGGGCCCGTTTGAGATTAATGAGAGATTAGAGCTATGAGCAATTGAAGTCAAACTTGCAAGAGGAGTTCCAGATTTTGACAAAGACAATGATAAATTAGTGAAATTCACATTGAGCATTTTAAGCAAGAAATAGCAATACAATTTCTGTAATGGTTTTGTTGATGTTAATTTCAGGGGAAAGAAGAATTGGTGAAGCATTTCTCAACATCGAAATTTATCTGCGACACGAATGAATATCTTCCAGTTGTTTTCTCTCCGCCAAGGAATGGTTCAACTAGCTTGACAAATCCAGTGGCTATCGGCAAACTAACTGGTTCTTCTGTTTCTCCTCACTCCGTTCCCTAAAGATTATTAGGGTTTTAGTATGTAAGTAGTGATATGATATGGCTTGGCCAGTGTTTTCATTTTCTCCCTGGTGCTCGAGTTTTTGGTCTGGGGTGAAATGGAAACATCGGATCATGTCTTAATGTCTTAGAATCTTAGGTTCTATCTTATTGTTGTATGTTTAAGAAACTTGTTTCTTAGTTTAGTGACGACTTTCTTTGTCATGGCTTCGAGTACTGTACTCGTTTTTTGATTCCTCCTCAATTCATAAACAAACTTCATCTCTATTTCTTTGTTTAGCACCTCTGGAAAGTGAAAATGAAGGGTTTAGTTTTTCACAAGTTTGTTTGGACGAAGAGCAAATAAGATTTAGACTAAGAAATGATTTATTGGTATTCAAACCGTAATTTTACCTTTTGCTTATGCAAGTCTGAATGAATTTATATTGTTCATTTTACTTGGAAACCGTTTGTCCATATAATTCTTTTTTTTTTTTCGAAACCTATCTTCAAAATATGTTTGGTTATATATTTGATTGAATTTTTGAAAATGAGTTTCATTTGTTTAGAAGTAATTTTTGCCTCTTTTTCAATAAACAATATTTAAGAAAAAAAGTAAATAATGTTTTTATTTTTTTTTAAGTAAAATGTATGTTCAAATATAATTTTAATTTTTAAATAGCTTTTTTTAATTTAATTTCAGAAACTATTTTTTCCAAATTTCATCTTTTTTTTATGTCCAAACGCCTACTTAGTTTCTTTCTTAATGTCAATGTCTATAATCTATCCAATTTTATGTTGGTCTTTTTAGAAGTATAAAACTGTCAAATTAATAGGTTGTTTGGCCAAGTTTTTCCTAGTTTAAAAGTATTTTTTTTCAAATAAGTGCTTTTTATTTTTCCATATTTGAAGTGTTTGGTCAAGTTTTTAGGAGAAAAAAAATGCTTTTGAGGAAAAATATAAGTAGTTTTGAAAAAACAGAAAAAGTAATTTCTTTCTATAAGTATTTTTGAGAATCACTTTTTAAAAACTTGGCCAAATTGCTGTTTAGAAGTACTTTTTAAATTAATTAGCCAAATATAAATTGCTTCTCACCAAAAGCACTTTTGAAAAAAAATATTTTTCAAAATAAACTGATTTTTTCAGCTTGGCCAAACGGGCTATAAGTAAAACTGTTGTGCGTTGCTATTACTTTTGGTAATGTTGCTGGAGGCGGAACTAGAGAAGTAAATGCGGGTTCGGACGAACCTAGTAACTTTTGCTCAGACCTTGTATTTGTATTAAAATATATATTCATAAAATATGTGTAAATATTTAATTGTGAACCCAGTAACTAAAACGAGTTATGAGTTCAATGACAAATTCAGAACCCATAAACTGTTCGCGGTAATATAATGCATATTTTACTATGATGGAAATTGTTATATTAATTATATTATAGATATATTAATAAAATGATTTCACTTATTTTTTCAAAAGCGTCCAGTTTCAGTTGTCTAAAAGTTGCGTAAAAGATTTTCCTTTGGGATACCAGCTTTATTACCACTTTCTCTCCATAAACAAAAGTGTAAACACTTTATGCTGAAATAGTAAGTTCTAAATATCTCAGAAAATGTAGAAAGATGAGATACATGGTTGACTACAGTTTGAGAAAAAAATGGAAAAAGAAATTTATGAAGAATATAGCAATATTTATAACATAACATAAGATGAAAGATATATATAGATGGCTCTGAAATAAGTTTGAATGTTTTGAAATAAATAACACACTCACCTTTTCATCTTACATGACAGTATTTGATTGGACAAAGAATTCAAGTTGTGATTGAAAATATTACATCAATGTTAAAATTTGACAGTGTAATGAAAGATCATGTGGCCTCAAGCATGTTATTTCAGCTTTTTTAACATGAGCAAGGCCCCCCAAATTGTACAAAATAACACACTTGCTAATGGAAAAGTTTTTTTTCTTGAAAAAAAAGTAAAAAAACTCTACGAACAAATCGGTCAAAAAGAAAAGGGATTGTTACACAAATAGTCGATCAAATTCAATATTTACTTTTATTAGCCGGTATACATAGATTATGTACACTTATACATATATTATACATCTGCCGGCTATTTTTTTTTAGTTAGAGAGATTAGATGGACGACTATTTAGGTTAATCCTTTAAAAAAAAAAGGGCTTGAAGATACCCTCTTGTGAGTATGAAATACTGATTTGACTTACGAACTCCTTTTATCCTTTTAATTGGTCAACTGGAACTGAAAACTCGTTAAATTTGAATTAGGCATGGAATTGGAAAGTTACTGGCACAGTACAAACATAGACATTTCTCAGATTATTCAGAATTTCAAAGTGCAGATTTTTCAAAAATTTACTTGCCTCATTAATAAAAGATAAATTTACTAGATATAGCAAGAACTAGTATAACGAGTCAGGGTCGAGTGAATTCAATAATAGACACTTGAATGCCAACATTCCTTCTCCTTTCAGGTAGAGGTAATGCAGGTATTTCGATACAACACTTTACAATGTATTGTTATATAATCAAGAAGTACACAAAAGATCTATATATATACCTCATAAAAAAGGAATAGGAGTTAGTATAAGCGTATGATAAAACTACTCTTAGATGAGACATACCTAGGCTGCATTATTGGAAAAGTTATACAGCTATGTTTTCTATCTTGCTTGAGACAATTGTATAGCTTCTTGATCATGTGTTGAGTCTTCAGCCCACATAAATTGGCGCGACATGAGGGAGAATTGTTGATTTCTGACTTCCTCAAGCTGTTCCCACTCTGCCCATCTTTCGGCTAAACCCACACCCTGAAGCATAGTGATCACTTGTGCCATTTTAGGACGCTCCTCGGGTGAACTTTGGGTGCAAAGCAATGCAACTTGAAGGATTGTCTCAACTTCTTTGGGATCATAGATTTTCATGTTTCCTTCCACAATGTCACCAAGCCTTTTTTCTCTTAGTAATTTCTTGATCTGTTTCAATCCAAATAAAACAGCAGGATGTTGGACATTCTCTAGTGTCAAAGCTACTTGCATATTTTGTCGGATGTGATCTTTTTTTTATCGTCTATTTTTCTTTTAATCCATTTTGACACCCATAATTCTGCAACACATATCTTGTGGATATGTTCAACTTTAGAGGTCCAACACTGACTTCCGTATAACAATGCGTCTTACAATAACTTGCCTTTCACTTTAGTAGGCATCCTCTTATCGCATACTATTCCTGTAACACTCCATTTCAACCAGACTATTTAAATATGTATTACATTTTAATCTTTAATACTATTCTGCTGGAAAATAGAGCCTATATATCTAATGAAAGATCATTTGTAGTTGGAATTTATATTGCATAACCTTCTCTCTACGACATTACCTGTAAAATTTGTCTCTTCTCTCTATATTTTTTATACTATATTCCTGTTTTTCCTATGTGTTTCTTTTATTGATTCAGCAAAGAAGAAGAAGATGATGATGACGACGACGACCACAGTACACCGCCCTAACCTGGTCAGCACCTAAAAGAAGAGACCCATGGGTATACCAAATTCACATATGCAACTTATAGCAAAAGAATTTAAGTCAAAATATTTGGTATTAATTCTCAGAAAAGGGGAAGTAGGACTTACATGATCCAGTAGTAAGACATCTTCCTCTTCTTCAAGGCGTGAAAAGTCAATTGCACGTTGCCCCGTTACAAGTTCTAAAAGGGTAATACCATATCCAAACACATCTGTTTTCTCAGATGATTTTCCAGTAGACAAGTATTCTGGGGCAATGTGGCCCATTGTTCCACGAACTTGAGTAGTAATATGAGTCAGCTTTGTATCAACTAATTTTGCTAGTCCAAAATCTCCAAGAACAGGTTCAAAGTTATCATCTAGGAGGATGTTTGCTGCCTTTAGATCTCGATGAATAATCTTAGGATCACAATGCTCATGTAGGTACTCTAGACCATGGGCTGCTCCAAAAGCTATGCGTCTCCTCGTTGGCCAATCCAGGGCTTTTTCTCCCGGTTTTAAATCTGAAAAAAAAAGTGAAAAAGAAGAAAAAAAGTCCACACTTTTAGAATCCGAGGCAATATCCTAGTGTTCACGAAAATCATGCAAGCAGCTATACTTTGTATTCTTGTCACAATTGCCTACAAATAACCATTTGAAAAACAACTACACACTTTTAGGTTCTTTGAAAGTGCCAGCACCTTGGTGACCTTGAGTTAAAATCAAAGTGTGATTCCTCCGCAATGGAATCTGTTTGATTAGGAACCTAATGGGGCAAATATCGATAATCATGATGTATCTTTCAAAATCCAAATTGAAATTTACGAGAAGAAAGAAATCTATACGCCAAATTTTATGTCTTCCTTTCAAATTACTTTTTGACAAGTTATCCCATAGTTTCAAAACTAGAATCTGTTGGATGTAGCATTTCAGGGTATTACGCGACCTGGATATATTCCTGTATTATATGAGACTTGATTACTATGTAGATTTTGTCTACTTATGAAGCAACTGAGCAATGGCCAAAGCAGAGGTTCGAAGATGGACCGATAAAGCAAGCTACATTCATTCAGAAAATATGGAAAAGGGACACAAAGCATTCATATTTTTCATCATAGATCCACTTTTTCATCACTTGCTAATCAGTTTTCATATTCTAAAATGACAACTTTCTAACTAAGAAAATACTGAACAGTATCAATAACAACAAGAAAATTTGAGTAATAAGGGCATACCTCTTAAACGATATGCAAGACTAAGATTCTGCATAAATGGATAAACAAGAATTCGCTCAGAAGAGGTTGTACAGAACCCAATCAAATGTAGAAGGTTCCGATGAACTGCAACACTTATCAACTGCACTTCCCTCAAAAATGCAGCTTCTCCACCAGGATTGTGGTAATCCGTGAGTCTTTTCACGGCCACTTTTGTGCTATCTAAAAGATAGCCCTTGTACACCTTACCAAATCCTCCATGTCCGATAATGTTGCTTTCACTGAAATTGTCGGTTGCAATCTGTATCTCGCGCCATGAGAACCTTCTGAGTTGGCCTAAGGAAATGTTGCGCTCAACTTCACCTAAAATGTCATAACAGGTGGACGTTAGTTGCAGTTACTGTCTAAAGGTGCTTTGACAAAATCAAAGAGAACTAAGATATGGATTGGAATCAATTAAGGGAATTTGTTCAACTACAACAGAACCATATGCTTTTTGCTTTATGTGTCATGTTAATACTTTTTTCAGATGAGTTGCATTAAATGGGAGAGGTTTAGTTTATAGGTAACAATGCAAGGAATTAATGTAAATATTACAAAGAGTGTTTTACTATCATTGGCTTTATGCACATTTGCAGCTAGGAGTGATTTGCCTAACGAGTACTGTAGTTATCATTTGTTATATCTGGCTAGATAATGCTTCACTTGTTTATGTCGACAGCAAATAGAAAGATATAAGATACAGTAAGAATTATTTTTTAGTGTGAATGCAAATATATGTTATCTTTTCTAAAGTAACTTTATCTTTTCCAAATAAAGTCAGCTTGAACTTTGAGCGTAACTATTAACTGCAAACACTGCTCGAATAATAGAACTTTTATGATGGTCTTGTAGTGTTAGCTAATACTTAAAAAAAAAGGCAAATAATTCACAAGAAAAATCCAGATTTATTGGGAACTGAAGAAAAAATAAGGTGCTAGTATCTTTCAGGGCATGTACAAAAATACATGACAGTTAAACCTAATCTAGATATCTTTATCAATTTCTAGTTGAGACATTGTTGAAAAAAGAATTAACTCAAATAGCCGACCACCAAACCACTTAAAGTAAAAATAGCCAGCAGATGTATAACATATGTCTAATCCATGCACAATATATGTATAATTGTGTATAATCGGTGTATAATCTATGTATACCGGCTAGGAAAAGAAAGCACTGAATCCAGCCGGCTATTTGTGTAAAGATCCTTTATTGAAATCTGAAGCTGCACTCAAAAGGAAAAGCTACTCTTTCTGTTGAAGGAAAAGGGAGTAAAACATACCTTCCACATCAAAAAATTGATCATGTTTATGCCTATGATTGCATCGGTATGTGATGATAGCCCCAACTAAGAGAAGAAGGAATGCACCACAGCTTGCACCAGTAATAGCAACCTCGAGTTTTGGTCTTCTGGTGGAAACTGCTGAAACAATTATAATTTAACAACTATTTCTAGAATATCATTTGTTGGCTAGAACTTGAGGATGCACTTGTGACAAGACTATTAACCTGGGACGGAGGAAGTAGAAATACAGGGCTGCTGAATGCCATTGCCACAAGCAAGATGAGTTCCTGAAAAACTGATATGATGATGAATGATGTTAAGCAATAAAGTTTAAGCAGCCAAAGTCAATATTTAACAGCTCCAACTTGAATGATGCAGTCTAGGGTGTACTGTCACATTTCTCTCCTTTCCCAATTTTATATAATTTAATTTCCAACCATAGTAAGACCTGCAACGCATCCAGAATACATCTAGGTCGTACTATTAAATTTAGAAGAGTAGCTTAATAATCAAGAGGGAAAGGAAGAAAGGATCAACAGAATACCATGCTGATTTCGACGCTAGAGTCTAGAGGTGCATTACTGCATCTGGTATTGCTTCACATGAGTGAGCATAAATTATTAACTAAACATTTAAGAACTACTAAAGTAACCAGAGTAGTTGTTTTCCTCTTTTTTACCCTTTTGATTGGGGAAAGTGAGCAAAGAGGAAGAATGGATTAGTAACTTGATTACTTAAATGATATTGGTTTTTTTCTTTTCTTCTTTTTGCCAGTGCAGCTAACATGACAAATTGTACAGCTAACTACAAAATGCATTAACATGACTTTGTCCGCTCCAGCGTCGTTGTGCATTGCAACAATAAGTTCGATAATAGTCTTGTGTGTTTCAAGTACGTTAAGCAGAACATAGCTCCTTTTGAACATCTCATCATGGTCGTTAGAACGAAAAGCAAGAGTTCTGACCAGTGAGAATATTAAAGCAATATGTAGAAGATTCCGTAAGATATTATTTAAAAGGGGAACAATTTTGAGTATTTTTTATCACACTTATCATTTTGGTTTTTTATGGTAAAAACATAATGCGGTTACCTTAGTTATTCATGATAAAAGGAAGGAAGTTTACTTCCAATGGAGCTAAAGGTATCCAAATAAGATTGTGTAAAGACAATATATATCTGTGTGCAAGGGAGGATTAGAGCTCAACATCGCAAGCAGAACAACTATTTCAAGGCTTAACAAGTAGAAAGAAACAGAATAAAATGATGACATTACTTGTATGTTGGTATTGAAAACAACTGCGGTGGGATACCTCCGGTCAGATCATTGGAGGACAGGTCCCTGTGAGAGATAAAACAGGTAAGCAGCACAGCAGGAGAAAGTTCCATAAATAAATGAAAACATCAAACAACAATAACTACTACTACTACTGTGCCTCCCTCTAACCAAAAATTTCAAAAGAAGAGCGTGGTACAGCTAAAAGATTAACATAGTTCTTACAGTTCCTTCAAGCCTGTGATATTTACAAGTGAATTTGGCACAGTTCCAGTTACATGATTTCCTCTCATGACCCTGATGCAGGACAAAAGGATATCACAGCAAGACTTTGTTGCAAGAATGCTCTATACTGAAGATGTGTGAATTCCAAACCGTTTAACGAGAGAAGTGTTGAGGTCTTACTTAGAGAAGTGGACTGGTACTTTAGGAAAAAAGGAGAGAAACAAAGAAAAACAAGCACTTACAAATGCTTAAGATTGTGGAGCTGACCCCAAGCTGCTGGAATAGAGCCATAAAACCTATTGTTTGCCAAATTCAAGTTTTGTAGACTTGACACGCTGCTAAGGTAATCAGGTAAGACACCAGATAGATCATTATCCTGTAAATCCCTGCATAGACCAAAAGCATTTTAGACGCTTCACGACTTTCCTTGACCTGTCAAGATACTGAAGATCAGTGTCAAAATTGACTAAATAATTTTCCAAGCAGCAAGTTAAAGATAGTTAACACTTCATATTTTGGCTTAGTGATCATCATGCTTCATTGCCTGTTCAAAACTTGTCATGGACTTGAATTCGTTATTTCCCTAACTGTGGCGGAGCCAGAAATTTATACAAGGGGATTCAAGAAAATTCTAGGATGTCACTGTTGGGATTTAATCCTATTATCTAAAGCAGCTTTTGAACCCCCTTTACTATGATACTTACTTTTCTTCATGTCAAGGAGATTCATCTGCTTACATATAACCAAAACAAATCATTTTTACACTATTTGGATAGTGTAATTTCCCGACAAAGGAACCCTCTTGACTCCACTTAGATCCACCACTGTCCCCTAATGTGGCTAATATGTCCAAAATTTGATACCACTTTCTCCTGATGAACTAAAGGAGGGAAAAATAAAACAAAGCAAGTTCTGAACTACTGCTAAATGTGCTGTTCAAAATTCCCACAAGGGTGATGACTTCCATCCTTGAAATACTAAATAATCTAGTTACGTGACATGTACCTGATTACTTTTCCTGGGTTGGGCTATACAATTTGTATACATTGAGAATTCAAAAATCTCCAATAACAAATTCATATACAATTGCCTCTGATACATCTTGATGATTCTCGTAGAAGATTCTTTATACAAAAGGAATATACCAAAAGAAACTTAAGACTAATCAAAGTAGCATAGTCTCAAGCAGGTGAAAGATATGCAGGATAAGGAAATAAGAGATGGATGCAAAACTTAGTAATTTTAATACAAAATGCAGCAAACTTACAAGCTAACCAAAAATTTCAATTTGGTTATCGACGGTGACAGAGTTCCTGAGAATCCGTTAGAAGCTAGGCTCCTGTATGATAAAAATATTTAAAAAGTGAATATACAAAACTGTCTAGATCAATACGCGATTTGTGTCATGATTTTCGGATTGTACTAAGGAAATAAAATGTAAGTTCCTGCAATATTCATTTACTTACAAGGATATGACATTTCCATTTCTGCATGTAACATGAGACCAACTGAAACAGGGAGACACTAAATGAATGTTCCAATCTGTGATTCTATTGTTGGAATCATTCAGAGCCCTCAGCAAATCAATCAAAGCATGACCTGAAATGATGACAAAAATATTAATAACAGAAGCGATTCAATAAAAACAACAACTACTGCGCCTCAGTCCCAAACAGATTAGGGGCGGCTATATGAATCCTCACTTCTCCATTGAAGCTCAACTTATTAATATTTTTGTTTCTTATTCGTTTTTAATTTCCTTTCGGGTGCTATGTACTGCATATAGTAGTTCTTGAATTAAATTACAATTCGAGCTATGATGCCCATATAAGCAACCATCACTTTAAAATCATTTCAATTGTACCAGAACATTGGGGATGAAGTCAGTACAAACTGAATGTTGATATGTATATTTTGAGGCCCATTTAACATGAGTTTGCAGCTGATATTCAATAGTCTATCTAACGTTTTCTGATTTAGCTAAAATAGTTTAAGGAGAACATACACTTACTTAAATGGAAACTATACTCTCTTTTTTCCTGATGAAAGCAGCATGGATTTTATGAATGACAAGAATCGGGACCAGCAACCACAATATTCAACAAAGTGAATTGATAGGTCTCTTCCCAAAATAATAAATTCCATTCATGAAATTCTTTCACAGATTCAATAACCAAAACCTATAACCCATACCTTCAACATCATCATCATTTGCGGAGAGACCATTGCTGCAGAAAAGTAGGAGCATCAACAAGTTCAAGTGAAAATGCCGGAAAGAAAAGGCCGTGGACATTGAATTTTCTCTATCAACTATGGGAGAGCTTCCAACTGATTGTTTTCCTTGTTTATGATATTCTACACAAAACAAAATATCCAACAATGAGGAGATTTATGAACTTTTTCCATATCACGTCCATGGAGGAAATGCGCACAAGAATTGTTAGGATCGAAATAATCAGATGTCTCCGACAAAAAAAGAGAAATATAACAAAAGAGACACAAACATTTAACGTGGTTCGGTCAATTTGACCTATATCCACGGGCGGAGATGAGCAATCCACTATATAAAAGAGAGTACAAAATATCGAGAGAACAACCTCACGAAGAGCAAACACAAGTGACACACTAACACTTGTGCCGAAAAGTTCTCCCCCTAAACAAAACTCTCAAACCCATATGGCTACATTGTGGATGCTACTGAATAAGAAGAAATGATCCTCAATTTATAGAAGTCCAAACTTTTTCCTCCATGAAGAGGGACTAGTAAAATATGAGAGATTTATAATTTTCTTCAAAAAAAAAAAAAAGAAAAATTCAATTATATTAAATATGTTGTCCTTTCCTTCAAGACATAGGAAAACTAAATATGGTAAGAAAATCAGGACAAACACCTAACAAAAAATAGCAAACAAACATCAACATGACTTGCAATTTGTATTAGAGAATAGGTGACATGTAAAACTTCTTCCATGTAATGATGTCAAAGAAATAGGCATTGTAGCTGCAGCATAATGAGGATACCCATTGATTCTAAAAGTAACCTCTTTTTTTTGTGTCACCAATTTAGTTAATGCTCAATTTGTGCAAGAATAGAAGAGCCAAAATTAATTACTATTGCT